CTACCTTATTGCAAGGAATTTGTCCCGTTAGTTCAATCCCTTAAATTACTAAACATTAAAGTTGTTTTTAAATATGAATCTACGGTTACTAGCATATTAATGAAAAACAGCCCAACCCTGAATATAAATGGAAGTGTTTACTCTATTCCACGTGGCAATTGTAAGGAAAATTATGTACAGTAGGTCAGGCTGGGGAAGCATTACAATTTAGAAAGAAACAACACAAATATAATATTAGAACAGCATCTGATCGCATTGCACTTTTCGTTCATATTAGGAGCAATAACCATACCATGAATATTGGAAAAACAGTATAGGTGTTTAAATCACCATGTGTTACAGAAAGCCTTCTGGTTGAAGCAAGTCTAATTAGGGAAATGAATTCTATAACCCTTAATGATGGTCAGTACAAAACTGATGATTAGTGGGTCTCATGTTTTTGACCTGACTTGACCTGATCTGTTACGTTATCCATTTTATAACCTCTTTCGCTTGCGGTGGAGGTGGTGTGTGGATTAGTGGATCCCAAATAAATTGACCAGACTGATGTTATGTAAGGTTACCCATTGTATATAAGCCTCTCTCAGTCCCTGTAAATTCAGTTGTTTTGAAGATGTCTTGAATGAAGACGAAAGCTAAGGTGCTTCAGTGTTTCCCTTTTCCTATGCGGACTTCTACATATAATCAACAACCTCACCCCGCCAGGACTCGAACACACGATTCCCTTGGAGATTCACGGCGCCATAAGCTTGATGAACAGGCCTTGTGTGAAATATAACAAAGTCTAGGATTGCTTTTAGTGTCCTAATGGTGTAAGAGGTAATGTTCCCCGGTCACACACATAAGATCGTGGGTTTGAGTCCTGGCGGGGTGAGGTTGTTGATTATATATATATATATATATATATATATATATATATATATATATATATATATATATATATATATATATATATATATATATATATATATATATTTCATGTAGATCCACAATGAAAACGTGGATAAGATAAATCTTGATAAAATCACACGGGAAAAGGGAAGCAACGGAGCACCTTAGCCTCTGAAGATGTCTTGAATAAAGACGAAAGCTAAGGTGCTCCGTTGTTTCCCTTTTCCCGTGTGATTTTATCAAGATATATATACATATTGATAAAAGGAAACACTGAGGCACCTAAGCTTTCGTCTTCTTTCAAGATATCTTCAGAAGCATCTTTTTCATGAAATCAGATGTAGTAGGTAGTGGGTAGCTATCAAACAGGGAGGTACTACCGACTGGGAAGATATTGGCAGCATAATGTGTTGTCTAATGGTAGACCCTGCTGCCATATGGCATCACGAAAATTGTGACCACGTCTCAGGTTGCTGGTCTGACTTTCTGCCTCATTTACACACAATTGCAGTGTCGCAATATATATCCATTACCGCTTTTGATCTGTTTTAATTTTTTATGTCTTTGTTCACTTATGGCATCAGTTGGTCAGGAAGGTTGTGAACCCCAGGGCCGACCTGTCCATCATCAAACTACTGGGGCCTCAACTGACGTCACCGCGGTTGCTGGAGGATCGGCTTTTTTCACACTTCATATTTCCAACATTCGCGGCCTGAGATCCAATTTTCCTTCTGTGGAGCACCATCTATTAACCTCTTCCCCCGACCTCTTACTACTATCTGAACTTCAACTGACCAAAGCAGCTTCACCCAAACCTTTTCAAATTTCCATCTACAACCTTTTTCCGTTCTAAGGGAGGTGTATGCCCCTACTGCAACACACGCACACCTATAGCTCGACTCACGGATATTGAGTCTTCTCTTTATGGTGTCATCTGGCTCAAAATGTCTCTACCAACTATGACTATTTTTCTTTGTTTCTTATACTGTTCTCCCAACTCTACCAACTCTTTGGAACTCTTTGACTATATCACTTCTTGTCATAAGTGGATGCTATCCACTCACCCCGACACTGAGATCCTCTACCTAGGGGATTTCAATGTACATCACAGAGAGTGGATTGGCTCTGCAAGGGATGACCAAGGTGTAGTCGAGGCACTCCTTTCCTTACTTAATGATCTGGAACAAATAATTAAACACTCTATGCATGTTTCAGATCGACACGATCAGCTTACTAGCCAGTGGCGTTTCTAACCTTCGGAAAGTGGGGGGGGGGGCCACTTTGGGGCCAAGGTAATTGTTGGGGGGGCAAAACCAAACCTGTGTACAACTTGCAAGATGCAGTTTTTGGCATTATTACACTAATTTGATTGACAAACGTGAAGTGGCGTCTCTCATGACGCCAGCCTAAAATAATCAGCATATGGCTGTATAATGGCAACGCTCTTATTTCACTAATCATGATTCATTGGAGTATTGACACACCTGAACATATCTCTAAAACTGTATTATTGCTCACATAGTCACATAAAGGGCGGGTGTACTACATGTGTACCACAATGTGTTTTTGCTCGTAACAAGGCTAATAAAGTACTTGGGTTCATACAAAGGAGTGTTAGTTACAAGACTAGCGAGGCTCATCCTAAAACTGTATCTTGCACTTGTGAAACCACGCCTGGATTACACAGTTCAGTTCTGGTCACCGTATTACAGAATGGATAATAGAATCCTTGGAAAGAATCCAGAGGAGAATGAGAAGACTAATCCCGGGCATTAGGAACCTTGAGTATAGAGACAGGTTAAAGCATCTTAATTTGCACTCCCTCGAGAGACGTAGAGCGAGGGGCGACCTGATAGAGGTGTATAAATGGAAGTCAGGGCTAAGCATAGGGGACATTACAAAGGTACTCAAACTATCCAACCAGGAGCGAACTCGTAACAATGGTTTTAAATTAGACAAATTTAGATTTAGGCGCGAAATAGGTAAACACTGGTTTAGAAACAGAGTAGTGGATGAATGGAACAAGTTACCAAATATCATCATTAACTCGAATACGCTGAATAGCTTTAAACTTAGGTTGGATGCTTATATGAGCAATAGGGGTTGGGTGTAAACGGGACTGCCCAGTATAGGCCAATAGGCCCGCTGCAGTTTCCTCCATTCTTATGTTCTTAAACGTAGGTTGGATACTTATATGAGCAATAGGGAATGGGTGTAAATGGGACTGCCCAGTATGGGCCAATAGGCCCGCTGCAGTTTCCTCCATTCTTATGTTCTTATGTTCTTATAACAAACATTGAAAAATAGAGCAGTGTCTTTACAATGTATGTACATAAATCAGCAAAAAAATGAATGATCTCACGCTTCACACATAATGGAGATTATGGAGACAACGTTTACGCTTTCAGACATGAGCGCCGCATGCAACTGTTACATTATACCTAATGGCAAATGGCAATGGTGCGGCTTCAGTTCACACGGTACTGTGACGGTAGCAGTATATTCAGTGCAGCTTAATCCTACGATTATTATGTCGGCTGCCAAACTTGTCGACAAAACAATCCAAATCAATTCCCTCAGCTCGTGCTCAGAGTGGTAATGTTCATCACCGACAAGGCAGTTTGTTTATATACACCGTGATGTGACCCCACCCCACATATCTGCACCCTCCCAATTCCTGCCCTCCGGGCCTCACCTCACCTCAGTGATCTCACCTCACCTTACCCATGCCTCTATCTGGCGTGCGGCGTGCCCATTGCCTGAGTCACTTGACTCACTTCCTGGTTTTGGGAATGTTTTTGGAATTGCAATTTTGAGAATAAAAAGTGGGGGGCCAACCCAGGGGCCAGCCCAAAATCTGGGGGGGCCATGCCCCCCCCGTAGAATCGCCCCTGTTACTAGCATTCTTGATCTTTGCCTTACCTCTAACCCCTCACACTATTCATACTCGATTTCTGCCCCCTTACGGTATTCTCATCACAATCTTATTTCTATTAAATCAAACTGGGAGCGACCACCTCCCCCACCCCCCTCTAAACGCCAGCTATGATACTATCGGAGGGCAAACTGGCAATCCTTGTGAAAATTCTTCTTCGACTTTCCACTCGGGACGCCTCAGTATGTGCTGACAGCATTGCCCGTGTTATACAGGGTGGTATGAGTATATTTATCCCATCTTCTACCAAAACTTTCATTTTAAAATCATGGTTTGATCGCTCCTGTTATTTACTTCTGTTTCATTACATCTCGGAATCACTGTAAGGCTATTCTTTGTTGGCTCAAAATTTACGCTGTATGCAATTGTTGACACAAAATTTACGCTATATACAATTGTTGACACAAAATTTCGATCTATAACAACTATGCATAAGTAACTTGATGTATGATGTTGATGAGGTGAAGCCTTGGCCCCATTGTTCTTTTTTTCCGGCTAGTTATTTTATATAAGGTTTTTTTTCTTCAAGTTTGTACCCATTCTGCCAGTCTGGAGATGACCTGAAAAACTTTTGCGTAACTGCACAATCAGTCGTTTATTTTCTTAATAATGAATGTGTAGAACTGTGATTCTCACATAGAAAATTTTATTTTATTTGTTGGTATTTTTAAATGTATGGAAAGTCTAAACACATATATCTTTTTTATATCGAACAGAAGTTATTAAGAATGTAGATGTTGCATAATTATAGTTTTATCATCTCCAAGCATAATTGTATTTCTTGTATTTATGTGTATAATGATTATTGGTTTAATTATGTGCATTTCAAAGGATAATAACCAGGTAAAATAATAATGCTAAACTAACTACTGTTACCAAAACCTAAGCACTACTGTGTTAAGTATTTTGTGCTATGTTAACCTTCCTCCATACGTCGACGGACTCGGGTATGTGTTGCCATGGGTTGTTTAGGATCAAGCCATATCTACAGACGTGCACTCAGCTAGTGTAAGAGAAAACTCGTGCGACAAAAACAATGCTTTACAGACTAGGTGGCCAGTGGCGGCAGAGATCTACTGCGCGACTGCTGAGCGTCGTCGTGGAGCTCATCAGCGACACAAGGCAGCGTGCTCAGATTTTCACTAAATTTGTCTAACGTCATCTAACAACTTACTTGTTTGCGACTGGCCACCAGAAGGTTGTGTGGCTGGCACTGTGATGCCTTGAGAGGTTGGAACCATCGGGCCCTGTGTGGGAGGCCACGCCTGGGACTGTCCGACTTGTGGACCCAGGGTGCCCAGGGGACCCGCACCACCTACACATGAAGTATTGGAACTCTGACTAGTGTGATGGCCATGTGGGTCTTGCCCTAATGACCCTTGCCTGAATATCCCCGGCTTCTTATCCTGGTTTCCCCTGGCTTGATTTAACAAATCTTGCCCACTAAATCTTTTATTTTGATTATCTTGCATAGAATCATGTGTACTTAGTGGTCCAGGGGGCTGGAGCCCCTGGTTGGGGAGGATCATACCTGGGCCACCTTTCCCGGGAGCCTCTGAGAAGGGGGGTCGCTGGAGCTCGGCGCCTGAGGGAGACAAACACAAGTGCCATACTTAGTCATCAATTGCAACATTACTATCTCAGTAAGTAGCCAACATGGTATCATTAGATGCAACTTCAGAACACCTGTAAAATATGCATGGTAAGTCAAGACATGAGGGAGCGAGTGATTAAAACTTCTAATATAGCAATAGCAACAAGAAATATACATTATAATTACTCTTGCTCGTTAGGCAGGCATATCTATGCTAATTTGAGAAAAGGCGTTTAAGGTGCAAGACATCAGGTCCCGTAATTTTGTACTTGTATTATTGAACCTTAACAGAATTATATCAATCTGAATATAAACAAAAATAAAACATAAGTAAGTAGTTAAGGCACAGATACATTATCGAAATACAGGAGTCTGTAGAAACGCAAAACTGAACAATAAGAATGAATTTGAAATACAGTAAACAACAGTCAGCACTTTTGTCATCGGTAACGCTTGTGAAATTTATTTTAGATAATATATGCAAATTTTTATTGTATCCTTATGATATTTCCAAAACTCCCTTGTATAGTTTCTGAACATGTAAACAGTCTTCAGATCGAGTGGAGAGAGCAGATCACTTCTGTTAAGTTGAAATAAACAGAAAACAAATGGAAAGACGAAAATCGAGGAAGTCAGCAGTAGTTTAATTTTGCCTGGTGTATCATGGAAAGATTTCTGATCTAATATCAATAGTAAAAAAAAAAATGTGTGTGTGTGTATGTGTGTGTGTATATTTATATTCAAATAAAGGAAGTATTCAAGGTTCAATATGTAACGACGAAGACTGCTTAAGTGTGGAATAGAAATATAGCATAAACTGACTGGGGAGAAAACTGTAGAAATATGGTTTGTCGTGTGGCGAAGAAACAGGAAGGTAACATCAAATGGACTTGAAGGTGAAGGATATAAGAATTAAGAAACCAAAAGTAAAGAATATTCTTCAGTGTTGAACACACTTTTGTGGATTCAATTAAGTTCATTGGTTACTTAAGGAATATCTATGTTGAGGAGAAGGGGTGGCGTCCTTACTCAACAAAATAGGAAGTCATCACCTTACGCTGTGATTGTTACCGCTATTCCTTCATCTGTGAAAATATTATAGGATTTGGTAATAATTATGGATGTGTCCGAAATTGGGATGACCTTAAAAAAAATTGCTCAAAAAGAGTATTTGCCTATTCTGGTCCCAGCCCTACCATGTTGGTAAAAACCAGGTAATAACTGTGGACTCTTCTGTAGCTTCCTAACAGACAAACAAACCATGGAATTTTTCTTATAGAGTGACACTTAGATATCTTAGTAGTTACCTACTGTATAGCAGAAAGCCTATCCGGCCGGATAATCTATACAATCTGCTATCCGGCAGGATAGTTGACCTTTTCCAGGAGGCTTTCTACAAAACCACCCAGCGTCCCAAGCCAGCCTTGCTATTTTTCGTAAATATAATGATAGGTAATATAAAAATAAAAATCGTAGAAAAGAAACCCAGTAAGTAGCATGAGACACAATACATGTGAGAAAAACGGTGTTCTCTGGTAAATGGCTGACTAACCCTCGTGAGGACTGACTACTGGTGTTGACAGATGATTCTATTTAATATTTATCGCGCTAATAAAGAAATATAATATACATAGATTTAAAATGAAAACATTCACGGCGAATATTTTCGAGTTTTCTAGTCATACAGAAATTATATTTCTACGCATCCAAATAACAATATGTTCTAGGTTCGTTATAAGACGCTTGGATTCGGAAGCGAGGTGGAAAGGGAAATTCCCTATACACTCTAGCTAGTGGCGTAGACAGACATAATATTAATATCCTATTATTCACCATTAAAATCATACCTATGCATCTCTTGAATCACTTAGAATCGGGTCTATACTACTACTCAGTAATATTTTTTTTTCTTTTACAAAATGTGATCTCCTCTATCAAATTCACGAATAATAGGTATATAAATGTTGCGGCTGGCTGGAGGGGCTCTCACCAGATTTACGCACGCCAGATACGATACACACAAAAACCTTTGAAATTTTCAACCATGCATGAATTATGTACAATAAGAAAAATTAAATGAAAACGGGTAATAAAAGTTAGGTTAGGTTAGGCATGAATCTATTCATTTATATGTTATGATGATCAGGTAGCAGAGGTGCAAGTGGATCCCCTTCCTGAATGCTTCCTGCTGACGCAATATCATGTTCGCCGAACCATGAAGGGCAGAAGGCAGCGGAAACGGCGATGGGTGGTTTTGTTATGTATACCCTTTAGTATTTTAGTGCTGGTACTTTAGGAAGGAAAAATATCCTATTTTACCTAATTACTGGAGTGTTACGTACGAGTGGTACTTAAGGCACTTCCAGTGACCAAGTGGCTGGTGGTATATCCCAGCCTCAATAGCGGGGAACAGAAAATGGTATACCATTCAGTATAGTAGCAGCAAAGCTGGGAAACACGGACAAAAAGTGGCATTTTGTGTGCAAAATAAAATTCATCACTGCATTAGTTTCTCATACCCCGATAAATGAAAACATTACTATGATAAAAGAGAAATGGTTTAAATTGTCGCTCGGAACAGGATACTCCCCGACGGAAAGCTGATTCCAACATGGAGATTTAAATACCAATGAGGGCAGATAAGTGGATATCTTTACATCCTCAATTGGCAAGAAAAGCTTACACCAGAGAAGCAATGCGACTTGCCTCTCTGGCCATGACTAATAACCTGACCATCGCGGGTACAATGTTTCCACATAAAGATATACATAAAAACTAGTGTATTTCCCCAGATGGCACCACCAGGAAAACACGAAGGCGCAGTGCAGGATGTAATGAGCTTCTGAGGAGGAGTGACTAGAGTGAAAGCTAAACTGAAGACCTCAAGAAATGAAGCGAGGAAGAAATATGACATCGATATTTTGCGTGAGGGAAAAGGAATGAGAACTATCAGGTTGAATTACGGAATTACTCAGTGTTGGAAACGGCGAATCAAAGACTGAATGACTGGTACATTACATAGAGTTACAGACCTTGTGTACAGTGGTTTTCGGTGTCATTTTATGGGTAGACCGCGAAACACCTTAGTGTCTAGGCTGTTAGGGAACGTTAGTTAGACGTAGGATTATATTTGCTTTAAGCAAAGTTTGCAATTAAGTGTTGTGGACTGTTGTCTGTAATCTTCATTTAAATGCCAGGTTTGGTGTCTCATTATAATGTATGCATTATTATAGATTTAATGTAACTTTAATGTCTTTTGTTTTGTAGTATTAAAACAATAAAGCAAAGTTCCTATATATTTTTATAGTAACCCTTAGCACCTGATGGAACTCTCCGATAAGTGTACTTATATTTTCTTTGATTTCTCTTCATCTGTTATTTATTTTTTCCAACTACACTTATCAAAATATATTATGGAGTTGGAGACCGTAATCTAGTATGTTGTTATATGTGTGTAGATAACCCTACTATGGCGTCACTGTAGAAGGCAGAAATTTGGAGTACAGAGAAAACTTACTGTATATGTATTTTATGGCCACGGGGAATATGTATGAACAGATGAGAGAGAATTTGGAAATAAAACAGTTGAGGAATCAGACTGAGGAGGAAGAAAGAAATAATATGACAGACAAGAGAAAGAAAAACAGAAAGAAGAGACGAAGAGACAAGTGAAGGAGAGAGAACTACAGATAAAAAGGGTAAAAAGAACTTCAGAGACAATTAAAGGAGAGAGAACTACAGCTAATAAAAGGAGAAAGAACTATAGAGACAAGAGAGGGAGAGAGAAAAACAGAGAGAAGAGAAAGAACAACAGAGACAGCCACCACAGATCTAAGAGAGAGAGAGACGCTACAGATATAAAGGAGGAAGAGAGAAAGACTGCAGATAAAAGGGAGAGAGAGAGAGAGACTACTGTTATCTACAGTTATAAGAGAGGAAGAGAGAGACTACATTTATAAGAGAGTGAGAGAGACTGCTGATAAACGGGAGAGAGAGATGGGGACTACTGATATAAGGGAGAGAAAGACTACCGATAAAAGGAAGAGAGAGAGATTACTGATATAAGAGAGGAAGAGAGAGACTACATTTATATGAGAGTGAGAGAGAGAGAGAGAGAGACTACTGATATAAGAAAGGAACAGAGAGACTATATATATGAGAGTGAGAGAGAGAGAGACAGGGACTACTGATATAAGGGAGAGAGACTACAGTGATAAGGGAGGGAGAGAGAAACTACTAATATAAGAGAGGAAGAGAGAGACTACAGTTATAAGGGAGAGAGTCTACAGTTATAAGGGAGAGAGAGAGACTAAAATTATAAGAGAGGTCGAGAGAGAGACTACTGATAAAAGGGATAGAGAGAGACTACTAATATAAGGGATAGAGAGAGACTACTGATATAAGAGATAGAGAGAGAGAGACTACACTTATAAGAGGTAGAGAGAGAATATTGATATAGGGAGAGATAGAGACTACATATTTAAGAGAGAGAGAGAGAGATATTACCGTTATATGGGAGAGAGACTACTGATATAAGGGAGAGAGAGATTACTGATATAAGGGAGAGAGAAAGACTATTCATATAAAGGAGAGAGAAAGACTACGGATATAAGGCAGAGAGAGAGACTACTGATATAAGGGAGAGAGACAACTGATATATACGAGAGAGAGAAACAAAAGTTATAAGAGAGAGAGTGAGAGAAAGAGAGAGAGACAGAGAGAGAAAGAGAGAGACTACTGATATAAGAACATAAGAACATAAGAATGGAGGAAACTGCAGGGGGCCTATTGGCCCATACAGGGCAGTCCCATTTACGCCCAACCCCTATTGCTCCTATAGGCATCCAACTCATGTTTGAAGCTATACAGCGTATTCGAGTTAATGATGATATTTGGTAACTTGTTCCATTCATCCACTACTCTGTTTCCAAACCAGTGTTTATCTATTTCGCGCCTAAATCTAAATATGTCTAATTCAAAACCATTGTTAC